CTTTATTTTAACTAGTATTCGCAATCAAATGCTGAATAAATTTAACATTACATATCTTTAAAAAGATATTATTTTATTTTTAAACATAATGGGGATAAATGTCCAAGTGGAATAGTATTCAAAGTCATAGGTGCATGTTGAATAATTCGTTGTTTTCATGTCTACATGTGCCATCCTCATTGTGGGTCCCCTATTCCCCCACATCCCACGTTCTAACTGTTTAATTATCGTCCCATGACTCACTGTTTAATCACACTCACACCCCTATAATTATAATATTGTATACATAACTCCTTTCAAGTTAGTTCTAATTTTTACATAAGATGCATGAAAAAGAATAATGAAACTGTTTCTCCGTTATATTTTACTTTTGCAAAAACAAAAAAAAAAGTAGCCGATGCACTAAACTCCCGCTATACGCAAGGTCCGGGGAAGAGCCGGACCACAAGGGTCTATTATACACAGTCTTACCCTGCATTTCTGCAACTTATATTTTACCTTTGCAAGAAGGAAAAATAGATATGACGACTGCAATAACGACTTATATAGACGGGCAATGGACTTGAAAAAGTAGCATTTTTTTTTTCAAAAAAAGAAATATGAGGAACATTAACTCGATCAATAAAAGCATTTTAATTAAGAAAGAATTATTTTATTGTTCAAACGTTTTTAGATACTCCGGTAAAATGCAACATATATCAAGATTCACTATAGAACTATAACATCAAACAGTGTCAAATTACTTAACATATGTATGATACAAAGTTGTAGATGGAAATAAATTATCTATCTCTTGCCAAACTAATTCAAGAAGACATATATTATCTCTTTACACAAATTATTATTGAATAGTTAAAATACATTTGCAAGTAAACGAGACTATTGTAAGCACATATGGAAAAGAGGCAAACAATGCATGAGTCTCTTGACAAATGAAGATTATAAATTTAACAAGATTCGTTTTTCTGGAAGTGAAACACTATACTCAAAGAATTTTATAATTACATCTTTTTCATTGTGTCTAAAGGCAAAAACAAAGATCCTATCTTTCCATTTTATCCTACGACGTTGGAAAAGGGGATATATATATATATATATATATATATATATATATATATATATATCTTGTTTCCAGATTGAGTAAAAAAGAATACATAATGCTCGTTTTCCTCTATGATTGATGATCGTTTCATGGCTC